GCTACTGGCATGTGTATTCCTTTATGGTTCGTTGTTGGTCTCACCGTGCCTCGCTTGCTGCACCTGCACTCAGTGAGGCCGAGCTCCGCGCACTCCGCCGCGTGACAGGAGCCGTCAGGCAAGCAGCGCCCGCCCAGCCCGCACGGGCATAGCGACGAGTTCTGACACCGGCATTCATCGTACTGGGCGCTGCACTCCTGGTACACCAAAAAGCACTTCAAGTCATGTCCGTTACTTAAACCTTAGTGTAATTTAGTACAAGAATACAAAGAAACTTTCAGATTGATCGGCAAAATATGGCGCACAGCTACGAACTTTGGCAACGGAATTCATCATACTGAGCACTGCACTCCTGGTACACCAATACACACTTCAAGTTATAACTGTTGCTTAAGTAACCCTTAGTATTAGATTAGTACAACACACTAAGTCTTAGATTAATCGTCAAAATGACAGAGTGGCGCTAGTATCGCTTAGCTGTCAGTTACGGTAAAATAAGGATCTTGTCACATTTAGAATATTAAAAACAAATTGTGTCGATAGTATGTTTTCGTACTCAAGTTTCACTTTGGCCCGAAGGATTGAATAATTTTTGTCGCTCATTTTCACAAATATAACTTTCTTAAACTTACAATACCATGCTCCTTGAGGTCGGCGTATTGACAATCGGCATTGCAGCACAGCCCTTGCGAAGGATGGCAGGTCGCCGACGGCGCTACCGAGCAACCTTCCTTGTGCAACGCCCTGATATTCAAAACTTGTTCATGTAAATGTAGCTTTTAGTCCAAATATTTAACTAATAATCAGTAAAAATCTCTCACAATTACAAAATATGATTGTAACTAACCCTTCCTCATATACCAGAGCGCCGCCCGCCCGCGGCGTGCAGCACGGGTCTCTCTGGCTGCAGTGCGAAGGTAGACCGCAATCGCATGCTTCACCTTCTTCCACGATACCTAATTACATAAGATTTTGAAAAACGCCTGACAAAAATAAATAGCAAATTGGTTTAAAGTAAAACAATACATATTTAAGGCGTTCAATTTAATCTTACTTTACCAACATACCATTGCCGCAATAAGGTCTATCCTGTTCAATAAGACAGTAACTCATACTACTAAGCGTGGCAGCAATCAGTCGTTTGCTGCATAGAGAAAACTCAAAGTGATGTATGCTTTCTGTAGTAGACGACTGGGAGCCCATTAGGTAGCCACGACATTCAGGATTAGGGAAGTTGTCATCGTGATGGGCACCGAAACTGTGACCTGTGATTGAAATTAATATTTAGTTTTTTTAACATATTTTACGTGCAATTTGCTATGTTTGTGCTTTGACACTTCTGTTTAAAAATATATTTTGTAATATGATAACTTCTAAGGATTGTCGTACCCATCTCATGAGCTAATGTGAGTGCAGCAATTCGTTCTGGCACTCTTTCCTTGTCCTCTGCTGTAGCGTGCGCGAGGGCTAGCGTGTTGAAGGAGCGGCCGTAAGCGCGTCGATCGCACAGACCACCTGCCGCGCCCCCCATGCCACCGCCTAGTGACGTGAAACTGCGACAAGTTTTAACACATTTAATATTCATATTTCTTTAAGCCTTTGTAAGACAATATTGTAAATCGAATTATCATTGTGCGCTCTGAGTATACTCAAATTCAATAGAAATTCAGCGCCTGTCATTTTTATTGCAGCAAATATTCTTTTCGACGATTATCGCAAAATGTTTGCAAATATTGTTAAGGATACTACAGGCTCTCGAAAAGTCTTATTGTAAAAAGTAGATTACTAACCTTAATCCTAGAGTTCTGTTATGAAAGACGTGTCCAGAGAAAGCTACCCCGAGACAGACTTCAGATAGCCGGCGCAGTCTTGCAAAACGCATCAAATAGTTTCTACCATCGATTGCTCGATCTTTGAGTAGGTCGCCGAATACACGAGAGTTTGTTTCATTTGATGTTAGCACTAGTATGTATTTGACGGAGAAACCTTAGGGGAAAAATTAACACATTGGATCATTGCGGTATAGGGGTAGACTTATGATAGAGAGGCCGAGAAGAAAGAAAGAACTGTTAGTTAAAATACGTGTACTGTCAAAAATAACCTTAAAAATTATAATGAGGTTCTTTACCAATATTATCAGGGATGCCATCTTCATCGAAATCCGCATTTCTGAATATAATATCAGCCTGTGCGACCGCGTGCATCATACGCCGCACCACGTGGTTCAGACTTGAGTTAGCATCCTTCTCGAAGAACTCTTTATCAGCTAGCAGTAAGAGATCGCATATCCTTGCTGTTGCTATGCCAACGTTCTTACTGTGCTCTTCAATTTGATACGGGAATATTGGTTTCATTGTCTCTTGCTGATGGAAAACAGTCAATTAGACTTTTCTGATATTTCTTTAACTCCATTGATATAACTACACACATTTAAATGGTAGAGGTAATAAAGAATTTAGACTTTAGACTACGGAATCTTAATCAAAGAAATATAAAAGACTGTGCCAACATATCGATTGCCCATAAGAAGTGTTAAACCGATTTAAAAAGTATTAGTTCAATAAGCTGTATAGGTTATCCTATTTTAATAAAGTTATTTAAGTATTTGTTATGGTAACGTATTTTTTCTGAGTGAATTAAACATCTTCACCTGATCACCTGGGTATGATCGCGTCGCGGGCGCACTGGCGCCGCCATGTGGTCGTTTTCAAACGCTCCGAATGATTTATTCAAGTTGTCCTTGCCGTATGGATCGGCATGTAATGTACGATTACCTATATAAGAAGACTATTAAAAGCGCGCAAACGTTTGACTAAACGATCCCCCACACTGTTTAGTCGCGCTTTGATTCCAATGAGCATATATGGAGGTGCGCACACTACTGGATTTGAGTTGTGCAACTAAACAGTTGAGGCTGCAAAACAATTGACAATCGCACAACAGTTTTGCGATTGTTTAATCAAAGGTACACCCGATCTAATTGTTACTATACGAACAAGTAATATAAGGTACAAAATCTATGACGGCTTGTGGTTATATATGATCGCTTGACTGCACTTGGGAGCTAGACCCACTGCGGGAAGAGAAAACCACTCGAAGAGGTGCATCCCGCTCCAGCAAACCTGTACATCCTTATGGTATTTAAAATTATAATCTCATTCAAAATTGTAAATTTCAATAAAGTTTTGATGACACTATCACTAAAGTACAAACTATTTCAAATATCTTGGCAGCTCGGTACATAGGAATCAACACAACTTTATCTATTGCGGGTCGTAAAAGGTTACGGGACGAGGCACATTACGTAAAATTGATCTTGAACTGTAAAAAAGTTTGACTTGCTCCATACCTAAATGTAGAACTCCATAGAACTGATGATCTTCCCCAATATAGCCCTCAGCTGAGCCCGCTGCCGGGTCTTCGACAGGGAAACCGTAGGCCATAGTGATGTCTGCTAGAGTTTGATCTCCTCCTTGCTTCAAATCTTCTGGTTCCGGGTCTATCAGCAAAGCGGTCTGCTGACTTGCAAGAGGTGAAGACCCTACAAGTATAATAATAGTTTTATCTATACTAATATTATAAAGAGGACAGAATTGTATTTTTTGGTGTATGCAAATAACTCAAAAACTACTGGGCCGATTACGAAAATTCCTTCATCGTTAAAATGCTACGTTAACAGTAACTACTATAGGCTATGTGTCTTAATTTTTTTTTATCTCACGCGGACGAAGTCGCGAGCAATAGCGAGTACTTCATAAAACATCTCTAATTTTCCGACCTATTATGATTAAAGTTAAATACTTAACAAGTTGTCCGTCACTAAATATATATTCAGCTGTAAGATAAGATAAAGATTAATCTACCCACCAATCGCTTTAAGCTTCAAACACAGCCAATATGTCTCATGACCGAAGATACCTTCGACCAGTTGGTATCCATAAGAGCTACAAATCCTGTGGCCCCTGTGCGGCTGGCCCTGTACATCCAGACCATGCACCAGAATCCCTAACACCAGTTGGCATGTGTAAACTATAAGCCAACAGGCCATCATTTAATTTAGAATTTCAATCAAAACATAACAACCATTGTTGCTCTTGTCATTGTGACAGATTTTTGTTTCTTCTATTGACGATGCTAAACTTAAATAAGGTTGTAAATAAATTCTTAAATACGCGCTTGTACATTGATGTGTGTGAATGGATAGGCTACTTGTAAATGACAGTTTTGCTTCTTTTCGATTTACAATTTCCAGGTGATATTCACGACCATTAATTCTAACTTTAAACCGCAACCGTCTGCGACAAAGTATAAAAAAGCCACGGCTTCTAACCTGTCCGTGTATAGAGGTTAGTGCTATCAGGTGATAAGAACTTTAGTTATGTGTTTTCAGGGGTACACCTGAAGAGGTAAGACTAGAAAGAGATCGAGGTATTGCGTGACGTGATCAAGAAGGCAGTGAGGACTGAGGTGACGGAAGATAGATTAATTGGGAGATAGAGCGAGATAGAAATAGCGTTTATCTTACAAGGGTAAGTATAAGATGACGACAACAAAATTAAGCGACATTTTTGCATTGTATATTAGTATGGTTATGGAACACTATCTGAAGGAGAAATATTGGCCTAAAAATATAGTCTGTTATAAATGGAATTCAATTATCCCGACTTATAAATGATCCTTGTACGAAATTGTTTGTATAAAATTTGAATAGAACGTGATATTTCTGTTCCTTACTGGATTCTTATAAATCAAATCTTAAGAATTGTTTGTTAGAAATTCAGTCGTATAAAGCAGTTTAAGTATATGATGAAAGAGATATTTAATACTAGCTGTCGATCGTGACTCCGTCCACGCGGAATTAAAAAAAACAAAAGTGAATAGCCTATGTGTTCTTCCAGACTATCCTCTACATCTATACCAAATTTCATCGAAATCCGTTCAGCCGTTTAGGCTACAAACACTAACCAACATCCATCCATCTAAACTTTCGCATTTGTAATATTAGTATGAAGTATGATTGTTTGTATTTACTTGAAATTGTCGAATTTAAATTAGTTTTAAGAAGTAGATTAACAAGCTTAGTCTATCTTAATTAAAGAAATGTCACAAGTCCAAAGGTATTCTTAAGTATAAGAAAAAAAAACACGTACGTATTAACAATTTACAATAAGTTTTAATGTAAATTAAAGCGGAGTTGCGTCACCCGTTTCTTATAATAATAAAGTTTACTATAAAATCGTTTCTAAATTATAAAAGTTCACAATAAAACCGGAATGGACAGAGGAGACATAAAGTTCATTAACTTTTTTACAATAGTCATTTACATTATTTATTCTGTATTAATATAATATCCTTCAGATGCCGTGTATATGTCGTGATCTTACACGCGAGAGAGCAGTGCCAGGGACGTGTCAAAATTATTTACTACTGCTTACTTCTATGGGTTACCTACAAATAGCTGGTACTTATCCTGGTCCATTCATTATATGTTCTAAGATGGTGACTCATTCAATACAAATTAAAGTTTTTTCATACCACTTATCAGGCTTTTGTCTCGAATAATCTGTGTCCTGTCTTGGATTTGGTCGATTATTTATGCAAGTATGTACGTATTTCAGTAAATATTCTGCGCAAACGCATCGCGGCGCCGCCGGGCCGCATTTCTGCGTCACAAACTCCTTACAATACGTTACGTGCCTTCATTATTATGAGAAGTACTTTCTTTCGATTAATTCCTTCGAATTCACTTCCCTAACTGACTTTTGAGTCACGATGTGATAATTAATAGTCATTTTAAATACATTATTTGCTTAATTAATAGTTTAAATGTAGAGATGGATGTGTTTTGTAAAGGTGGGGATGTTCAAAAAGGAAATGGAAAATGCGTTCCACAAGTTAACAAGTAATTAAGCTGACTTTAACTTGAAGCTACCGAATTTTGAAAGCGAATAGTGTATGTCAGCCCTCACGGTACTCTCTATTCATTTATTTTTCTCATACTCATATTTTCTATCAAAAAAGTTTACCTTCGTTTCATTGGATTTTTTTTCGCTTTCAAATGGCAACTAATTTAACTTTAAACATATTAAAAAAAAGAAAATTTTAATTACGCACGCATAGTTTTCTTAACGCGTGCGTCTTTTGTTTAAAAACTAGAAAAGTATTGGATCAAATATCAAAATGGAGTCATTGATAACATCATTTTCACTGTTAAAGTAAGACAATGTGAAAGATATTCATATTTATAAAACAGTATTAAAAAATTGTTATTTTTACAGGATAGTAGTGAAGCATACCCTTAATTGCTATCAGGCGGCGGTCGCTTAAATGCTTGACACAAGCATATAAACAAGCAAACAAGCCGGCCGGCGATTCCATTGGGACTTATTCATTCGAAATTAGAATACGGTTGACCGCGCGCGCTTTCCGCGCCTTTTTTAACGACTACGATTCGAAACGAAAAAAATATGATTTCAATTAATATTTAAAATATTTTAAAATAGTGATAAATTCACTATATTTTACTTCAATTGTTTTTTAAAAGCCGTTATATTTTTTATTTATCCAAAATGCTTAAGTACACAGTAAAAAAGTATTGCTCGGAGGGAAGTAAATTTCATCAAATTGTTATGGTGGCGCTGAGTGAGTATACTTTTTAATTATTTAAAGGATATTACAATTTCGATTTATTTAAAAATAATAATTAAAAAGCCCTCAGACATTTTGCTAAAAGCTTTAATAGATTCTGATAAAAATCATTTATTTTTGGTTCATTTGACTTTGGTTTTGCCTTTGTAATTTTAAATGCATAATATTTTATTTAGTCCAAAAGAAACATTGTACTTTTATGGATTGGGTTATTTGCTTTGATTTTTTATAACATAAAATTTATTTAGAGATGATATAAAAATAAAAATTTTAAATCACTAGTATGTTTTATGTGTGAATATTAACACTAAAAAGAACCCCATAAAATAAATGTGTTCTTATATATTTTTTAAATGGGATGGGTCATTCGTCCTGGAGATAAGTGGCCAGTGCTTTAAAAAAAAGCAATGCATTTAATAAATATATTTGACTTCAGACAATCTAAGATTTTTTCTAATGTCCCATGATTTAAAAAACTTTTTTCTAATTTGTCTTTGGTACAAGTTATATTAAATTAAATCTAGCAAATCTTGATTCTACTGATTTTTTTTGTGACCTATAAAGATAGAGCTTTGACTTTTTTACTAATATTAATAAAATACATAAATCAACACTTAACCCTAATGTTAACTATTCGGTTATTCCGTTATATCGACTCGAGCGTGCGGCGTTTATTTTTTCTTTCTAATAACTCTAGTTGACAGTCGACCGTTGAGTTTAACTTGTCCATACAACTTTGAGAAATAAACTTCCTGCCCTATTATTAGTAGCCTACCATACAGTACGATTTGTTTTTTTTATACTTTTTATTGTCGAAGATCTCTACTGATTTGGATTCAATTGAAGACACTCTTTCACGGGAAGTGAAATTTTATTTTAACATAAATTGGCACATTTAAGTTCTTATCATGTTTTATTCAAATTGTATTTAAATCTATTTACTTTGTTTAAGATTTAAAAAAAAATCTTTTTAGATTGGAAACTGATGGTTTGAGAAGTAACAATATTTTTTTTCAACCCAAAAAAATAGTGAACTTTTTTACGTATTTTTTTTTATTTCAAATCTATCATGCCACTTTGATTCAATACTTTGTAGGTCGTGGTGTCAAACGAAGTGGCATTACACTTCGTTTTTAATACAAGGTCATCATTCGAGGACCTTTCTTTCTAACGGTCGCTTCCACAAGATCTCATCTAAACAATAAAGTCATTATCAATTTATTATCGAAAGTAGGTTTAACTAAATTAACAGTTATAATATAACCTTTTGCTTCGTTTATAACGTTAAAGATTTTTATATACAGGACAACATAGAAACACAAATTAACGATGAATTCTGCTTTCAAGAAAAGGTAACGCATCTTCGGTTACTCTAGTCTTGAGGATGTCTATGGGTGTCGGACCATTTAGACAACCAACTGCTGCGTTTGCTCTTTACATCGTTCCAAATCTTCACTTCTGAACGAATTTAAATCGTCATATTATGTCACTGCAGAAAAACTACATTGTTGTCTCTATTTTTCCAATAAAAATAAAAAGGATGGCACGATTATTTAATTTTTTCATAGGATAGCCAACATGTTTTTCAATTCAAATTGTCATGGCAGAACTATTCACATATATACTAATATTATAAAGATGGACACTTTGTTTGTTTGAAGGAAATAGGCTCAAAACCTACAGGGCCGATTTTAAAAATTCTTTCACCGTTGGAAAGGTAATTTATCTGTGAGTAATATAGGCTATATTTTTTACTTCTTTATTTTAACTATAAATTTCCCGCGTAAGGAGTCGCGGGCAAAATCTAGTCGCTTATAAATCTAATAAAGGGCAAGGTTATCAAACAAAAACACTTCATGGTTTTGTTAACAGAATCCATATTAACACTTGTTATTTAACATTTCCGCATACATACACACAGGTTAAAAAAATACGCAAACATTATATAATCTCGATCATTCTTTAATTAGTATTGACGTAGTTTTACCATCATAGTCGATTTGATGTACCCCTGGGTACAAGCGTGCTAATGTACCTTACGTTGCAAATCAAACGCACAGACGAAATACATACATTTTGACAGCTAACAGTGTAACGCAATTAAAAAGTTAATTTAATTAACATGTCGAAAAAACAACTTTGAGTTCAGATTACGCATTCATCATCACCATCATCTTCCTCCTTCTCCTACTCCCTTAGGGGCGCACCAGGTTTTTGTCCTCCACATAACTCTATCATACGTCATCTCAGTCATCACTCCCTTCTTGATCACTTTTCACGCAATCCATTCCTTTCTACGTCTAGATTACGCATTCAGTAATGTAAAAATAATCAAAATATAGTCCGGACATAATGCTTTGAGGTCATCTCTGTTCTGAGTTCGATTCGAACTCGAGTTCAAAGTATACTAAATTGTCTGAGTATTTATAATCAAGGTCCATCGTCCTCTGAGTTGACCATAATTATTGTGTCTGTTTTGTAACAGAAAAACGTTCGCCCTAACCAACTATAGTGCATACATAATGCATGCTGCATATACCCAGAGAATTTACCGGGTAATTTATTTTTAAATGTGAAATTCCTAAAAACAGCATCATTAGTATGCAGCATTCAAAGTACAAGGTGCACTTGGAGTTTTGCAATTATCCAATCTTAATAAATAACATTTAGATATAAGAAAGATCGATAAGAGAATAAACCCCAACAACTGTACTTTTATTCGGGAAATTAAATAATTTTTCTTTTCAAATAAGACAAATCGATTGCTCTTGTATTCATTTTAAAACAATTCATTGCGACTTGTCTACACTATTATAATAAAGCGTAAACACACAGTTCTTTGTTGCCTAAGATGTCAGCAATTACAGTATATTTTTGAATAATTCCTTTTTTAATAAGAAGCGCTACACTTACGTCACGCTATATATTTTTACGACATTAAAGTTAGGGGATACATATTTTGGATAAAAACCCTAATAAGGGAAAGAGACCATAAGTTGCTGCCAACATCAAGAAAGAAAGATTACTAAGGTTTGTCATGTCAAGTCATTTTGTCATTTGCTATTGATAATTCGACAAAAAATAAAATAAAATTTTCATAATTTCATGCGGATGAAGCCGCACAGGAACAGCTAGTGTGTTATAAAACTGTACTTTGTCTCCTTTAAAACTCGGTTAACAAAATCTAACGTGTGTAATTTGCATAACACAAAGATTAGTTTTAATAATAGACAAAGCTCTTATATTATTAAGATCGCGTGAGCTTTTATCGTAAGCACAGATGTATGGTAATAAGTGACTCGTGTCAACCGATTAGATAGTATTAATCCGTCTTTAAAACAATTAAAAACTAATTAAACAAATGAATGAAGCTATTACCATAAAAGTTTAGGTGAACGAGAGTCATTTCTATATTTAGAACGTACTTAGTAAATATACTTAAAGTCGGTAAAACGGGTTCGTTAAGACAACTTTATTCTCTGTGTCTGTGTTTATTGATCGTAGATCAAGAAATTAGAAAATTTAAATCGAGTATTTCGGAAGAAATATCTTTAAATTTAAAAATTGAAGTCATGATGAACATCAGGGATAAACACCGAAAATAATGTATAGATAAAGAATTTAATAAGCTTAATTAGTGCAGTAATCGACCATCGAAACTATAAATTAACTAGTGTAGTTACACTTTAGTGTGGGTAGGAAATAAATTTCCTCGGCCACATTTCCCTTTTTACCTTAAAATTAATCTTGTCAAATATGTGTTATTTAAAATATACATACTAAACCAGAGTTAACGGTACTTATATAATGTATGTATAAAAAACAACTTATAAATATTAAATTACTTCGGATGGTGTTTGTTTAAAACCAGTCCAATAATGACGTACTTTGCTGTCATTCTTTTCGTACCAACGTTAAACAGTATTAATAGAAACGTCACAAACAGAATTAATTATCCATTAAGTACCACCAAAAGGTTAGCGTGGTACGGACACTACACGAAGAGATGACAAACTACACGCATAGACAAGTAAGCAACTTAAATATGTGTGGAACAGTGGTAGAGCCCGCTTTAACATCGCATTGTAGGGTCGGCTCGCCCGGTGAAATACCACGACCACAGAAGACAGCTGTCAAGTGCGAACAATTCCGCATTTCGTCTGATGAGTGTGGTGGTGATGAGAAGAGACGCATAGGAAGAGGAAATATCCGCTTTATGTGCGTCTCCTTATCCGTCGATTAAGGGTAGGCGACGCATCTGCAATTGCAGATGTCTATGGGCAGCGGTCGCTTCGCCATTTTGGCGGATTCAGGTGGCCGCTTGCTCGTTTGCCATCTTATGTTATAAAAAAAAACAGTTGTTACAAATGTGTATGTGCAGCCATTTTAGCTGATTCAGGCGGCCGTTTGCTCGTTTACAACCTTATGATATAAAAAATGGAAGCCTGAATATACAATTTTTTAGGCGGGACAAAAACTGAAAAATGCCGTCTGTAGTCTAAGGTCCAGTTGTTTATATTCATCTGGAATTACGCAGAAATGTCTCTTTATTGGTCGTGCAATTGCGTATTACAGTGTAAGCAAAACAATCAAGACCAATAATTCATTGAGACCAATACCTACGCATGTTGTTTACGCGTGAAACTTCAGTCATAACAAGTTTAAGCTTTGATTAAGTTTGATTTAAGGACTCAATTAAATGTCTGAAGATTGTATTGTAATTAATAATTATTAACAGTTTATTACTTAGTGGTATAATAAAATATTTGAGTTTATAAGAGTCTAGATCTTAAGAAAAAAATCTTTTAATATCATCAGAAGTTATGGTTGGTATCTTATTGTTTCGCGAAATTTTATTGTAGTAAATTAGACTTGAGTATTCGAATAGTTGGGTTTAACAGTTTAAATTAATCGTCAGCATCTACGAAACCGGTTTTCTTAAATTTCAATAATTTGAATTCCTAATATTTCGAGATCGAGTATAGAATAACTCGATGACATAAGCTTCATAGTCGAAGAGCTATACCTTTAAATATACACCTTATATTACATTCCAAAAATCTCGTCTACATATTAAAAGGTAATTTTAACTTATTTGGTTTTATCTACAGATCAATGCAGTAGCTTTTGCTCGCGAATCCTTTCGCGTGAAATTATAAAGTGGAATATGTGTTCCTTTAAACTATGTTCTACATGTATGCCAAACTTCATCAAGATCCTTTTAGCAGTTTAGGCTACAAACTCTAACAAACATCTATCCATCCATCTAAACATTCGCATTTATAATATAAGTATGAAGTAGAATAGTATAATTCGACAAATACCAATTGTCATACAATTATAATAGAAATATATAAAAATATACGAGAAGGTCTTCACAACATAAGAAATGCTTTTCATCATTTTAAGTTTTCGCAAACATAGCAACTGGTACAAAGACAATTACTATTTCACACTAACTTACTTTCTAGGCGGTGACTAGCTCTATTAAACTACAACTGATCCGTTCTCTGCACTATTCGATTAATAAATCTCAGACCAGACTGGACACTTTACGTACACCTCATTCATGAATGTTAAGCGTCGAAGTGAACTGGTTCTTTGACATAATACATAGGGCTGACAATTTTCAATAAACGTGTGATACGCCAAATTTTGACTCGACAGACAGACGAAATATAAGCCATGATTGAAAATGATGGATTTTAGACGAATTTTTTTGACATTGGCAAAGCGCTCAGGAGTTATTGCACTTTAGATTATTTTTAACCACTTTGGTCAGATTAGTTAGTTTGTCGGACTATAGAACCGACACTGAAGGGAAAGAAATCAACCAGCAACTTGACAACCCTTTACTCTTTAACAAAAGAGAAAAAAAAAAACAAGATTCAGCGTCATATTATTCTGACCTTAAGATATTGATGTTAAATCCGTAGCACTATACACTATGCAAAGAGGTCAACTCTACAAGATGGCAACCCTATAACACCTAGCAACAAGTGACGATGGACCGGTCAGACTGCTCTATGTAGTCATCGGCCTCTGGCATTCTATCTACAAGGTCAAGTGTAAACTGCACACTATAATCGGGAGTGATAATGAATGCATTTGCGTGTTAACACACGTGACATATTGGACAAAATGTAAAAAACGATGGTTTTTTAATCGTTTTCAACCAAGTGGCTTGTGTATTAACTTACGTATTTAAATGTTATATCGATATCGAGAAAAATAAGATGTAAAAAGATACTCTTTTTAATAATCTTAATTTGAAAGGAGGTAGAAAAACTGTTTCAAAAAGTTTATACTACGACTTTTTCCTAATTACGTTGTATATTCTTGACAAATGTTATCAACATCCGTCCGATCCGAATTTATTTGGTAACAAACTCTTATATCCCAACATGAGTATTTCTGAAATATGTAAGTCGTTAGACCATCCTTAGTCATTTTAAAAAGTACATTTTGCTATATCGATGATACCAATTTAGATGATACAAACAAAAACATAAATTAAATGCCTTAATTAAAGAGAACATCAACAAACAGATTCAATGTACTCGGTACTTGTAATGTTCATTGTTCGAATATTTCATAATCACTCGACGCCGTACAGTCTGGCTATTGTTACACTACGAATTGAATGCTGTCTTAATGAATTTAAGAACGTTAAAATGTCAAATATATATCTTCTAGAATTTAAAATGAATTAACTAGTTGTGATTTGTGATACAAATAATAATGCAATATGGCGACAAACTATCATTACAAGTGAATGGCGAGCTTGTAAGCAATTCAAATCTAATGGTAAAATAGACACTTTTAGTGCCAGTTTAAGTGTATCCAGTTCTCTTCGAAAATGCGTTTTGTCTTTTCAATGACCTAGTATTTATTATGTTAAGAAGACTATCTTGGTTCGGAAGAGTTCATTAAATAAATTCTTCCATTACTAGGACGACATGAATTCGGATGTTAAGAATTACTTTTTAAAGAGGACGCCTTACCCTGTGAATATCTATTACTAGTGTAGACTTAACTGTTAACGAGTAGTCTATAGATAACTGCTACTTATTTGTAACCAGCTATAGTAGCTATTTGAAAGTCTACATTGTCTGTTGTAGATCTTTCTAGAAGCACGTGTATGCATCTTCTGACCTTGTACGACCTCTATAATTAAAACGAAACGATTGGCTTACAATGTTGAAGTAAAATTGATATTAATTGTACGAAGTCTTCTGTTTCTATCATCAATTGAAATTAGTTGAATAATTAAACTGACGTTCACCTTTTGTTATGCAACCGTTTGCTATGCATCTCCTATGTCGAGTTAGCCATATCATTAATGATTAAGATAACTGTTACTAGGTACACGTAGGTTTCTATTGCACTTGTTCAAGATTTTATTAACATTGGCTTTCTAAAAAAACTGATAGATTCTATTTGTACTTTTTAGACAATGGAAGCCTATGATTAGACATTATCAAGTTTAATAGCAGATGTTCTGATTCTTTAATTTTGTGATATAAAAGCAAGGGCGTCTCTGAACATTTTATTTTTGTTCACAGTGGTTTTACCAGTTTTCTCCTACGGCACAGCGATCGGATGGCTATCTCCAATGGGTCCTAAACTCATGTCCGAGGATACACCGGCAGCGGAACCAGTACATCAGGATGTGATATCCTGGATGGCATCAGTTCCGTACCTAGTTGGAACACCAGCTGTATTTTTATTCGGGTTTATTGTCGATAATTTCGGAAGAAAGAAGGCTTTGATGCTTACATCTTTGTCTATGGCGGTAAGTTATCAATTTTAAATCTCTAAATTATAGTAATAAAAATGTAAAATATCATAATTTTATTTAAAAATGCCATACTTATAAATACTATGACTACGGGATCCTAGACTATATTTCGTTTTTGTTTTCTATGTATGTGTCGATCGATTTTCTAAAAATTATTTTTTGATTTAATAATTTCACGAAAATAAAATAATAAAAGTGACTTTAACTTTGCACTATAATATGTGGAAACGTATTTCTTTCTTAAACCGTTGAACCGTTTTCAAATTTCAATGATTAAAATTTTATTCGGGTTCAAAATGTGAAAACGTATAACCTAGACCAGTATCCCACGTATATATTAACGGTAATATAATCAAGTTAAATTCTATATCCTATGCATGCTTGTTACATTTAGTCAGCACGACATCCATACAAAATACCGTTACTCAGTCACGTGCGAAAATTTAAGTTAACAGGTTTCGTAGTTTTAGCGGTTTGTAGATCTTATCGGTATGATTAATTTTAAACTTTTTAGTAAAACGTTCAGATAAATATCGTGTGTTTTGGGAATAACTTTCACAGATCTATCACATAAAATAGGTAAAAATATTTGATATAAATGTGGGAAAAAAACATGGATACAGATTTCCTAATAGAACTAAATTTCGCGCGCGACTCCGATTGCGTGGTATTAAAAAAAACAAAAGTGATTATTCTATGTGTTCTTCCAGACTATCCTCTGCATCTATACCAAATTTTATCGAAATCCGTTCAGCCGTCTAGGCAACAAAGAACCATCCATCTAAACTTTTGCATTTATAATATTAGTATGATTTTTAATCTGAATTTCATTCGATAAACTTGAACTACAAGTGAAAATAACTAAGGTGAGACAGTCTTAATTGGTATAAAGTTAACCTTACCTGTTGACAGGCATGTTGGTCATTGAAGATCTATTCCACTTCAACATGGGCGTTGATATTAGCTCGTGCGATAGTCGGATTTGGCGTCAGCGGGTCGTACGTCGTCACTCCTTTGTACATCAAGGAGGTCAGCGAGGATTCTATTAGAGGGACGCTCGGAAGCCTCGTCATCCTCTCCCAGAACTTAGGCAATCTGCTGGTGTACATCGCTGGAGAATATCTCTGTTATAACACTACGCTGTGGATCTGTCTCTCCGTGCCGTTAATACATTTGTTATTGTTCATCACTATGCCAGAAACACCATCTTACTTACTTAAAAGTGGGAAAGTTGACGTAAGTTTTTAAAATCGATTTTTTATATTTACCCTCAATTTAATTGACACGCAAATATATTCTCGTTCAATATAACGTTGGAATTAAGAGAGGAACGTTAAATTCTATATGGCGGCGATAATATTCAATTATTTAGTTATTCTGTGGAAATTGCGAGATAAAGTTAATTGATATTGTATTAAAAAGGGTTACCTAATGTATGTAATATTATGTGAAAAAAATTGTTTTGCCGAAAACATTTTTGTATTCAAATACGTATTTTTACGATAAATATGTAGATTTTATATAATGGAAATATTTATGCTTTGAATTAAAACGAAGATAAAAGTCTACTTGTACAGAGCCGCATTCACACAAGGGGAGCGCAAGCCTGGATTTATCAATTTAGGGGCGACAAATTTTCGTATGCATGTCCCCTATGGTTAAGACTGCGAGCCGGAGGGCTAATTATCCCATTCCCCTTATATACTATTCTTATAAGAAAACGAGTAATAGGGAAAGTGGATTTGACGGTGTAGGAGATGCATAAGAAGGGGAAATATCCCCTCTATAGACGTCTCCTTCGTAAGCAAGGCATCTGCAATTGCGGATGTCTATGGGTTGCGGTCACCTCTCCATTTTAACGGATTTAAGTGGCCGCTTGCTCTTTTGCTACCTTGTGACATAAAAGACGTTAATCTTTAGTAATTTGCAGGAAGCTCGTGGGGCATTAGCATGGCTTCGTTGCCGACAACCGGGAGATGCAGCTGTGGACTCCGAGTTACAGGCTTTGCTGTTAGAAATGGAACAGGACAGCTCTGTTAAATTCTTCCAAGTCCTCAAAGATCTGAGTAAGTACCAAAAAATTGTACAACTTGGGACATTAACAGGTTTCATGCCATTACGACAGTTGATGAAAGGGACCTTGCCAGGCGAGTCTGTAACATTTAACTAATTAATATGAGGTCCTAAAGGGTTGAAAACAAGCCTTAAGCATTTAAGGCTTGCTGCATAGTAAAGACAACTTAGTTTTTAACCATCAAAGTGTTTACAACCAGTCAAAATGATTTTACACTATTTTTTTTATTCTAGTATTGTTAAAGCCTATTCGTGTAAGCTAACGTTATTAGTTCTCCCGTTACATAAAAATGTTGTTTGTTGAACGTTTTTAAAACACTCAAAATGATTCCCTTACACGTGGGCATGTCAGTAAATGTACAGTACAGAATACACAGCGTCATTCAAGTGTAAAGACTTGACCTACTGTTTTACTCTGTGGCATTAACGGTAATGGTGCGTAGGCACAAGTGGTGACAAAACAATAAGTTCCCAGGGCCCGGTAACGAGCTCGTGTCTACTGGTTGTTTACATTGTGCTTCTTGTTAGACTCTACTGACACTAGACTCGGAAGTTTTCTAAATAAATGCTTGCAGAAGAAAATACGATTTAAGGAAAATGAGTAAAGAAATGATGTTTAATTCAGTCTAAAGCGGTTATTATGATATTGAATAGATTAGCAATATAGTGTAGGGTGCAGGAGAGGGTTCCCCCCCCCCCCTAGAAAACCGATCGCTGACGACGCCAATACAATATTATATAGCGTCTATGTTATACGTTTAGTTGTGATCTACGGTTTTGGCTATAACCGGAAATCTTCGTAACCGATGTCAAGTGGTTTCTACCATATATGAAAAATAGATATTCCATATTTAAGGTAGATCCTAATAACTCAAAAGTAACGTAAAAAAACAGTAAGAATATTGTTCATTAAAAAAACAGTCTAATTTAAAGATATCGATGTTATTTACGATTATTGTCTATGCAACGATCGATTTCATATTAAAGTTGTAGAAAAACTTACAAATATATTATTAAAACAAGATTTTGCATACTATAGAGCTTAGCAACCACGATGATGTATCGTGATCGATATCAAATTATCATAAATGATGATGGATCAACAATTATATCTCATTAATTTTGACATTTAAGACCTGGCCTTCAACGTGGCTTTGATACTCGTGTTTAAACCTACATGAAAAAAACATTATTAATTAACCATAACTTAACAAACACAATTACAAAAGCTATCACCACGCTATAACGTGTTCATATAACATGTACAATGAGGATAAAAAAATACGAAAAAAACAATAAAACAAAGTCCAACAAAAACTAAAGCTAACAAACTTAATCTTAGTGCGGCAGTAATTCTGTTTGAGATGGTATCCCAAATCTAAAACAGAAGTATTACTGCACTAGCACGAAAGGTGAATGTTTCGATTTTGTCGATGATTATTTTTTCGTAAATTTCCGTACTCGATCGCACACTACTACAACTAAAGATTACTTTATTTATTTTTATTCGAAGATTTTTTTTATGATATACTAGCATTCGTCCGCGTGGAATTAAAAAAAACTAAGTAACCTTTATGTTCTTCCAAGCTATCCTCTACATTTATGCCAAATTTCATCGAGATCTATTCAACAGTTTAGGCTACAAACTCTAACAAACATGTATGCATCTAAACCTTTGCATTTATAATATTAGTAAGAAGTAAGATTTAAATTTCTTTGCTTTAATCATAAGATTCACATTGCATTTCGACGCAATATCGGAATGTCGCGACGTAGTTCTTTCATGTTAATGCATACCTTTAAACAAAGCTTTGTTTCAGTATCCGATCGGAACACGTTCCGTGCATTCCGCATTACGCTGACTATAACACTGGCCCGGGAGCTATGCGGATGTCTGGCTGTGTTACACTTCGCGTCTCTCATCTTCGGCCAGGCGAGCGGCGGTTGGGTGCTCAATGCCAACCAGCAGGCGACTTTACTCGGCGTCGTACAACTCATCGGCTCTTGTACCGCTTCTACTTTGGTCGAGAGAACTGGTAGAAAGGTGAGTTATTTAACATTGGACTTGTTCGATTTGATCTCATATTTTTTAGTAAATTTCGTTAGTGCGGAGGCCAAATTTAAGTTCCTTTTTCTCTTTACCATCCTTTTCTTATAAGGAGAGGTTGGGAAAAGGGAAGTGGTTTTACGGTGGAGGAGATGCATAGGAAGGGGAAATATCCTTTTTATGTGCGTCTCCTCCTCCGTCGTATAAGGGTAGGCAACG